GGATATATAATAAATCCTAAAACTTATAAAGGTGTCTTTCCTCTTCTTCAGAATATTTAGTAGAGCAACTTATTAGAATGTCATTAATCACTTATGGCTGTTGAACTGGAACTCATAGCAGACCCTCTACTGTCTCCAGGGCTGTGTGTTGCATGGGAGAAGATTTCCTGTCTTTCCCCTGCAGAGCAGCTGGTGATTTTGAACTGCTAGAGTAGACTGGCCTTTGGATTAGCAGCACATCTCACTGTGGACTGTACCACAGCTTTCTTCTTATAATATTGTTGTTTGTTGTTTGGTGCCGTCGAGTCATAGATGACTAATAGTGACCCTATGAACAAAAGGCCTGAGCACTGTTCGTTTCCAGAGGCAAGCCATTTTGGAAGTGGATGCCGCTCCTGCTTCAAGGCTTGTTTTAGTCGGGAAGCTCCAGGCAACACACTGTCCACCAGGGGTACCCATTACCATGTTTGGCACATCAGTGTCCCAGTGTTCAGCATCACAGCAACCACGAGTTACCTCTGTTCAGCAATGCACAGAAGAATGTTTGACAGGAAAACAATATGAACCTGGCCTGAGGGCCCCAGATTAAAAAATTGCCTACCTTCAGCTTGGTAGCATAACTTTCTGTCCACTAGGCCAACGTATTTTTATTGAAATTAATAGTATCTAAAACTCATGTAGACAGCAGTACCAACTGAAATGTAGAATTTGAAGAGGCATTGGGATGGGATCCAGTGGCTTCCCAGCACCTTTGGAAGAAAGATACTGCCTCCAGGTAGGGAAGAAGACAAGGATGCCTATTATGGGAATTCCCTAAGCAATTTTAATTTTTTTTCCCTAAGGTGAAATTTTTTTTTTGAAGGTAGGCTTTTTTTGCTATCAATACTTTATAGAGTTTAGGTATAGGAACTTTTATTCCAATAGTTGTATCATTCAGGATGACTCAGTTTCATTATATGATTATTCCTCACAATTATTTCATTAGCCAGCATTTTGCATTTATGACAACTGTTATAAAAACTATCTGGCAGTAACATAATAAATGAAAGCCAAGGTGCTAGACAAGAGTAACACTGGCTTGGATGCTTAAGTTTTATGTGTCAGTTTGGCTAGGCCTTGATTCTCCATCATTTGGCAGTTATAAAATTGTATAATGTGACAGGTACATGATGCAGTTTGACAGTTATGGAATGATAATGATTTGACAATTAATAATTAAAATAGTAACTATTGCATTAATAACATTAATGCAAAAATGTAGCATGCTATACTTTGTGATCTTATGATCATACTCTTAATATCATGCTGAGCTTTGGTAATATCAGCTTTTGGAAGCTCACCATCTAAGCAGATGAGGAGTGGCTGTACATGTTTATGGTTAAAAGTAGTATGTGATTCTGCATATCGTAGTTTAGAAGTTTGAGTCTAAATATCTTAGGAGCATGATTACAGGTATCTTAATGTCACAAGCCCTACTGTCGGTCTCATTGTAGTTTTTTGTTTGTTTACTTGCTTTTTAAATTTAACAACAGAGATAATTTTTCCAAATAGGAAGCTATCTTGTTTTTTCTGCAAAATGTTAAATGCCTAAATGTGAGGATTCCTAGTAACAATGGTGACTTGAGTTTCTTCACACCTAGATTAATGTAAAATAAATAGAAAAGGATATTTCAACAGAATACTGTAGGTATTTGATGACCCACTAGCAAAATATAATTAAAAAAAAATAAGGTTTTCTTCCATGAAGCAGAGTTCCATATGTCATTCTCAAGGAACCCTAATATATTTTTTTTTTTTTTATTTTTTACGTGTGTACCATCAAATCGGATCTGACTGTTCCTCCTTCTTCAGCAGAGCATCTGGTGGATTTGAACCTTGCACCTCTGGGATTGCAGTGCAGTTTCCTGCCACTAGGCCACCAGAGCTCGCCGGAACCCTAATATATTTTTAGTCTAGCTCCTTTTAATTTGTCTTAATATTCTGTATCTGCTGCGTTTATTGACTTAATTTTACACATTGATTTTGGTGAAGAATAGAGTGTCAATGTTACACAGATGTAAATATTTAGAAAATTTACTCATCTGCTTAACTTTTTGGGATTTTTTTAAATGTACTTTCAGGGAATATTTTTAGGGTGTCCTCTTTTTAAAACAGCTCATGCAGAGGTACGTTCAGAATGTTCATTTGTCAGGGTGTGAGCATACAGCATTATCTTCAGAAGAATGTATTTTCACTTTGATTTTCATCAAAGAACTCATTCATATTAGAAAACTCAATAAGGTTGGAGGTAGTAATGGACTTTATACTCCTGCGAAAAGGAAAACCTTGTTTTCTTGAATTAGGCTGGTTGTTTTCTTTTGGCCAAACAAATCTTTCCACACAGAGCTTAACTGTCAACTTTTTTCCTTTTTCTATTCTTTTACATTAACCAAGTCCTGAAGAAATACAAATCTCCATTGTTACTATGACCCTCACATTTAGGCAGCTAATAATTTATAGACAAAGAGTATAGTTTCCTATTTGAAAAATTCTTTCTTTGTTAAATTTAAAAAGCAAACAAACAATGGGCCAGTAGTACCTGTGGCATTTAAAATATATTTCTAATCTCTTTGGGAAAATATTTCAGTCTCCTGCCATGTGATTAATTGCCTCTGAAAACCCACCGGATGATCAGCTATAGGTTGATTCCAACTCTGCAATATGTAATAACAACAACAATAATCTCTTTAGAGATTTAAAGTCACCGTTTCTTTACCGCCTTGCCTTTGTGAGCCCTTCCCTGAAGTCTCAGACTTTTTTTTTTTAATCTTCAACAATCAACCTCAGTGGTACCAGCAGCCGGGAAATCATGAGATCTATTGCTTTGGGAAAGTCTGCAATTAGGGACCTCTCCAAAACACCAAAGAACAGTGATGTCAGTTTGAAGCTTAAAGTGTACCTGATTCAGGACATGGTCTTCTCAGTCACCTGCTACACATCAGAGAGCTGGACAATGACTAAGGATAACAGAAAAATAATTGCCTTTGAGTTGTGCTGGAGAAGGGTACTGAATATCCTATGGACTGCCAATAGAACTAACAGGTCCTGGAAAAGGTGCAGCCAGAGCGCTCCCTGGAGGAAAAGATGATAATGCTTCACCTTTCATACTTTCAACATCTAGCTAGGCAAGGTTGATCTTTGGAAAGGGACGTCGTGTTTGGGAAGATGGATGGTCAATGAAGGAGAGGAAGGCCCCCAATTGCAGGTTTCAGGTTGGCTGTTCATAGGGTTCCTATGAGTTGTACTCAACTCAACATCACCTAACAACAACAACAGCACTATGGATTTTTTAGTAGTATTGTTGTGTGCCTTAGAGTCAGACCCAACCCAGAGCTGACCCACCAGTGGATTTTCAGAGGCAGTAAATTGTATGAGAGGAGATTGCTCATCCTTTTCCCATAGAGCAGCTGGTGGATTCAATCCGTGTGCCTTTGAGATGGTAATGCAGCTTCTTACTATAGGCCATCAGAATTCCCTGATGATTTTAGGGAAGGAAAAAGGGAAGTATTTTCATTTCTATATAATATACTATTTATTGCCACAAAAAAGGTGTGTGCACATGTATGTACACACACATGCATTTTTTTAAAAAGCAGTATTTGTCTTCTGAAAGTGATCATTAAGGATGCAGTTGGTAAAGGCAGGCTGCCTGGGAGCTCTTCTCCTCAGAAAAGATCAGAAGCATCAAATTATATGTCAGTACTTGAAAAAGTTATGTTTAGGAAAATGAGCTTAAGCACAGTATCTGTTACATATGTGACAAAGAACAAGCAAAATCTGAGGGTGAATGTACATCCAACTCCTTGTCTTATGCTCAGATATATCACTCACCAATTAAATTTTCATTTCTTCTTCAGCCCATCAACTCAGCCAACACAGTTCATCACTGTTAAGTTACGACCCACTCCTAGTTGACCAGCAGGTTTTCAGAGGCTCTAAATCACAGGAGGGAGAATACCCAATCCTTCCCTTGTAGCAGCCAGTAGATTAGCACATTTTTACTTTTGAGTTGGCTGTACAGCTCGTTCTCCACAGCCACCTCTAGTCTATAGCATTCTCTGTAGGTGAGCACACTTTCTGTCCTAAGTAGAAGAAATTAAAGTAAGATTGTTTTATGCTGAGTAAAATATCTCAGCCACAAAAGGATAAGTACTGCATAAGATCATTGTTCTAAAACAGTATGATGGAGTGGGGGAAGTAGTAGGAAAAGAATGGATATATCATGAACACTGTAGTGGAATAGGTGAAGGGCAGGTCAGTCTGAAAGGAATGGATGGTTAGACATGTGTATGACAGTTATCAATCTGAAACAGGAGGACACTGCTTACTTACAGATTGAATTGGGGGTTAGGGAAATATGTATGTATACATGAATGAAAAGTCTATTTTTAAAAAGTCCATTTATAACAGGGTAATTTTGTTGTTTTACTCTTAACCCTTCCATAAGTAGGGGTTGACAATGATTCAAGCCAATTTGAACATACCATGAGTGAAAACACAAATAAAGAAAGCGCAGACCTGGAAGTTAAATGCCTTAAGCTCTTTGATTGGCTTTCTTGCTAGTATGAGTTCAAGCAAGTAGCTGCACCCCTCTGAGTCTTACCTAAAAATTACCTCAGAACTTGTTGCACAAGACTTGTGTCCTGATTTGCCTGTCCTGGTAGTAGTAATAGGAAGCTGAGGGGAAGCCCTCAGTTTTATCTAGACAGCATGAGTCAGGGAAACTATTTAGAACATTTTACATGGAGGACAGTGCCACCTATTGGGGAAAAAAGTAGATTCTACCCTTACAAGATAATACTGCTAATCATTTTTGTTAAGAACAATTCTATAGATCTTATCATAATTTCAAAGTTTACACACTGTGTTTACTGAAAACATTAAACATGTATATCTGATAGACTAAGAAATATTGTTGCAAATAAATGTCATAATATAAATCCTCTTAAATTGTGGTTTAGGTACATATTCGCTTACAGCTTAAAATAAAAGTTGTAATTTTAACCATAAAGAATTTAAAGGTGACAATACTAAATGCTAAATGGTTAGTTTTTAACTGAGGTCTCAAAAGATCTTACCTGTATTCTTCATACCACTGACATAGGAGTGTGTTGGTCTCTGGCTAGTTGGGACCCCATAAAACACAGATGATGTGGGTGCTCTGTTTTGAGAATGCCGTCCTTGTCTCTTCTGCTGGCATCTAAACCTAACCACAATTCTATCAATTACAATTGAAACATTTATAAGTTTTATTGATAAGTATTATTCATTATATATTATATATACACATTATATTATGTATATATTCATTATACTTTGTGAAAAGTTAGCAAATATATATGTAGGCAAAATAAAAACCAAAACCTTGTAGTAACTTAGTTACAAAACTAGTAACTTCTTATAGGAGGAGATTGCCCATTGACTTCCTATGGAGGAGCTGGTGGGTTGTTAGATTGTAGTAACTACTGATCTTTTGCTATAAAATCTTTTACACATGCAAACAAACCTTGGTGTATAACCTTCTGTACACATACACACAGAGTTTTGTGCACATATATACCTTTGAATGCAGATTTTATTTTTTTTAATCAGCATGATATATAGTACCTAATGTCTTACAGCATGCTTTACTTAATAAATTCTAACTTTCATGCCAGTAAAATATATCTTATACATTGTCCATATTTGAATTATTCCAATTGCAGTGTAAAATGTATATATTTAATTTCATTTGCTCTTAGATCACAATTCTTATAAATGGGAATTATAATTAGCCTTTACTAAGAACAATTTCTGTCTCTATTAAATTTAAGAATTCCTGTCAATATAGTGCTGATAGCCTGACCTGTTATTATTTTCAAACCTTGTGTGTTAACATTTTCAATAAGCATTTTCAATCTTGAGATGGTTTGTCTTATGTATTTTGTTCACATTATTTCATATACACAGGCACAGTTACAGGGTTTTATTTCATTCCTGAGCTGCTTATTGAGCTAGATAAGCTAGCGTTAAGATGGTTAAGCAGCATTTATATCTTCATATTATCAATAACACTTAATAGGTTGTTGGTGTACATTTATAAGGGAAAGCTAGAACCAATTCAACTCAACTCGATTTGAGGGTTTTATTACAAATGCGTAAATCCATTGTTACACACTGGGCTAGATTTAAAGAATTAAAATGGGAACCTTTTTAGGCACATAGATCAACTACTTAATGAATACTTGAAATCTGTCTGTTCTTAGTACAAATTGTCATCAAGTAAACACTGTTTCCTAGGCCAATTCCTGTTATACTTATTATCCCATAACAGTTGTTATCATTAGCCTTTCCATCAGATGTCCTAGTTGGATGAAAAATTAATGTAGTCACTCTGTTATAAGTGACTTTATTTAAATACCCTTCAGGTCCCTCTCATTGTTGTGGAATTGGAACTGACTCAGAGCTGACCTTAGGCTTCCGGGGCTGTAAATCACACAAAGCGGATTGGGCAGCTTTCTCCTTGTAGCTATTAGTGTGTTGGAAGCAGTGGGGAAGTGCTGGCTGTATGACATACATATCCCTGTGGACTCTACCACCTGGGCTGCTTACCCACCTTCATTGTTGCTGCATGTGAGCAAGTCAGAACCAGTTCTTAATTGACCCTGACGGAGGATTTCAGAGGCAGTAAATAGCATAGGAGCATTGCCCATTAGGAAACTCACATAGGCAGTGATCTGGAAGCTCAGTTATAGGTTATGGTGAACCTGTATTTTTACTCTATAATCAAATCTTTAAAGTACTTAAAAACACAAGTCTTATCAAATACGGAAGATAGTACAAGTGGCAGCATTACCTCTGAAATGTAATATGAATGCTGAGCCACCAGTGAACACAAGGATAATTTAGTAATGACGCCTAACAATGACATAAAGGGGCAGCAGATAATTGTGTCCTATTCCAAACCATATACCCTAATCTGAATCTTTGTATTACCTTGAGGAAAATGTAGCCAAAGGGATACTGGTTTAAAAGGAAATCCTAATTCTTACTGTCCCCTAGATTCTAGTTCAGCATAATTTAGCCACAGAGCATTTCTATCATACATTTCTTCATTCTTAAAGTAGTTTATCTCTGGGGATGGCTAAAGGTACAAATAAGATAATAGGCATGAAAACAGTATGAAGAATTTTTTTAAACATAGAAAAGCACATACATATGGTATAATAGTCATTTTAAAGAAAGAAAAAAACCCTTTTAAAAAGCCATGTTCTCCAGGAAATCACGGTCTTATAAGAGAAAAAGAAGTAAATAAAAAAGAAATATGTAAATAATTAATGCAAAGCAGATTCTAAGTAATATTTTCTAAAAAATGCAAAATGGTATGGTAATAGAGGGAAAAGACATTGATTGTAATTTGACTGAGAAAGGACTGGCCATGCTAAGCCAATCCTTTTCAGTTTGTGTTGGGTTTCAGGTAGATCAGGCTGCCTGCCAGTGTGTTTCCTCCTTAGCAGCAGCAGGACAAGCATCCTTCCTGTGGTGATCTCGTGGTCAGACCTGCTTGCCAACTGCTGTCAGACAACGTCAGTGCAGAATAATTATCTCCAAACCAAAATTGTTATCTTTGGCAAGAAGAATTTAAATCTGAGATGGATAATTCTTTACCAACTGTATTCAAGGAATAATTTCATGTTCTGTTATATTAATTAATCCCTGCAGCAGCTGCATCGCATGTTGTTGTTGGGTGCTGTCGTTGACTCATAAGCAGTCCTGTGAACAACAGATCTAAACCTTACCCTATCCTGCACTTCCTTAAGATCTCCACGATGCTCAAACCTGTTGTTCCAGTTAATGTGTCAGTCTATCTTGTTGGAGGTCTTCCTCTCTCTGACCTTCCACCTTTCCCCGCGTCATGTCTTTTTCTTAGAAATAGCCCCTCCTGACAATATACCCAAAGTATGTACTGACTATCCCATGAACTGCCTCAAGAGTCAACAACTCTTGGAGGAAGGGCAACCAGAGGGCTCCTTAGAGGCAAGGGTGGTGAAACTTCATATCTCCATTGAAGAGAGCTTGCTTAAGAATTAATAATATCAGTGTTATTTATTCTTTGCTTTTAAAGATGATTTTTGAGACTTCAGTGAAATACTGTAAACTTTCAGTTATGAAAAGTAGCTTAGAGACCTTTATGTATCTCCCAGTTCTTAGGTAAAGAGACAGAACATGACTACTAGTCAGAGTTATGGATAAAAAAAAAAAAAAGGTATGGTGAAAGGGTGCAACCCTGGCTCACAATTTACCTGATTTAAAATCATTTAGTATCCCCTTGTTCTTTCTGAATAATTACTTCTTCGTTTAGTAGAGGTTCCACTAAAGCACAATTAAGTGCGCTTTTTTTTCTTTAAACATTCAGAGCACAGGTCTTAAGCCTTTGTACTACTTAATTAACTCTGCCTTGAATGTTCTTCCCCCAGATATACCATCTATTTCTATTGCTGTGTTTGAATTAGGACATTATTAAGTCTTCTTATCTTTCCCTCATCATAGCCTTTATCACTCAACATAAATGATATATTTTATTTATTTATTCTCTGTGTTTCTATGCATGATAGCATGCATTAAAATCAGCTGGAGGGTTTGTAAAAAGTTGCTATCCCTAGATTTTTTTGGTTCTCTGGTTTAGACTCAAAATTGAGAGGTTGCCTTTCGATCAATTCCAAGGAGACACTGATTCCCTTGCTCAGTGGAGCACATCTTGACTTGTGGGATGATGGAATAAGAGAATAAAACTGTAAAGAAGTTCTATAATTTTATTTGCCTATCAGTAAGCTTTTTATTAGGAAACTAATATTATGACTTTATATAGATAGTATTGTTCTATGTGTCTGACTTGGCACCAACTCATAGCTGACCCTCAAGAGAGTTTTCAGAATAAAGAACTTGCACAGGAGGGAATTTCCCATCCTTCTCCAATGGAGTAGCTGATGGATTTGAATCACATATCATCACTCTAGTGAGCATAGCATCATTCTTTGCTATGAAACCTAGCATCTGAAACCTTTTCTATGAATCCCACCAGTTGCTCCACAGGAGAAGGAGAGGCAAACTCCAGTGCAATTAACTTGACTCTGAAAACCCACCAGAGGGTCAGCTATGGGTTGGTTCCAACTTGATGGTACACAACAATACCATAAAACCTAGCATACTGTAAAGATTCAAGATGAACAAATAGATTTAAGGAATTGTTATAATATTCTTGGCCTCTTATTCATCCATTTTGGTGTTTTGTTTTGTTTTTTAAATTTTCCTAATTTAGGTAAGGTGTTGCAGGTTGATTCTTTGTTCTTTTGGTTGTTAGATGCTGTCACATTGGTGTGACTCATAGTGAGTGTATGAACAACAGACTTAAAGCCTGTCCTATCCTGTGCCATCCTTATCGTCCCTGAGAAACTTGCTTCAGTGTTTTGGAGAGAGACACTATGTTTCCTGTCTGCTAGTACCAAAGGTGTTGATTATTGATTCAACAAGATGAAATAATTGGCAATTTCAGCACTTGGAGAACATCTATCATGATGTTGCCTATTGGTCTAGTGGTGATGAGTCTCATCTTCTTGATGCTGGGGTGTAATCCATAATGAAGGCATAATGATCTCCTGCAGCAAGTGTTTCAAGTCTTTCTCTGGGAGAACCTGCAGAAGATCCCGGGCAGCAAACAGGAAGGCAGCCAAGTTGCCTGCCAAGAAGCCCTCAGACCTACTGGCAAGCACCAGTACCAAAAATCCAGCTGAACCACTGTCCATGCCAATACCCTTATCTAGGACCCCATCCTGCCAGCTCACCAAGGGCCTCAGCTGGGCCCAGAAAAGGGCTTCCTATGCCATGATATTTATTTATTACTTGCTGTTAGAGGTACACCATTTATCTGTCACTTCATTATATTGAGGAATGATGTCTTAGATGTGTTCATGCTTGCCTGTTTATCGTTTTCTCTTATTAGTACTGCAGTTTGTTGTCCTGGTGTAACTTGTGGGTTGCTGTGATACTGGAAGTTATGCCACCAATGTTTCAGTTGTCAGAAAGGTCCCTCATCATGGGCAGATTGCAGCAAAGCTCCTTGATTAAAAAAATACTAGGAAGAAGGATTGGTCCACTCTTTTTGCATTTATGTAGACATTCATTGCCTAATCCTTTTCAACTGTATTTATTGACATAGAAAAAGATACCATTTCCAAAATGAGAGTTGATATATGGGATCAAATTGCTCTCACAGAAGACTATATTGTAAAAAAAACCAAAAGCCCAAACTTGAATAAGACCATTATGCTAATCTCCCTTTGGGTGAAGCTTGAAATGTACTTTCCAAAATCATAATCTGCAAAATTACACACATAGGTTTGTGTGGACAGTCTGTGTAGTTTAATTAAAGTACATGAGAGCCCTAAATGTTGTGTAAGTATCTGATACATCCATAGAGAAATAACTAGAAGACTGAAGCATATTCTAGAGACTCTATTTAAATGAGCTTTCTAAATCTTACATTTGCTACATTCTTACATGTATATGGACTGCTCTGTGTATGTGGCCCAGGGATGGAAAATGGCACCACATAGGGGAGGTTAAAACAGAGGGATGAACACAGCAAAAGGATTGAAAGCTTGCCCAAAGTGCTGTTTGACCTCAAGTCGATAATACTTCAGACTGCTAATGCATTGTTATCACTAAAAGGACTCCTGGAAAACATTTCTTGGGAGCCAGAGAAACTCTTTATTTTAGAAGTCTACTTCAGTATAATGGGATTAAGATGCCTCATGAAAGAAGTCTATCAAATCAAGAGTTGTTTTCTGATAATAAAATGCTTGGCTTCATTGACTGTAAAGTTGCTGAATGCCCATTTCCGGGTTCATATGTCCAGTCAAGAAAATGGGGAAACAATTTTACTGAAATTTATGCTTCTCAATGGAGGAAAAACAACAAGAGAGAGAAAAAAAAAAACCCAAAAAACAAACAAACAAAAAAAACTGGTTGTCCACTGAGTGATTTTTTTTAAAGCACTCCAGATAAGATCAACCATTATATCCTAGAATATGGATAATGGGCTATTTTCCTTTAGGATTTTTATACAGGGTTTTAGTGCTTTAGACTAAAATATGACCTAACAGTTTAAGATCACCAGGAAAGTACTGGCTACAGAAGAGTGAGGGTGCTTACTTCAAGTGAATGTGCAGTGCTTATTAAAAGATTCTGCATTAGTATTTAGCACATATTAACTATGATTTTGTGTACTTTTTTTTTTTTACTTGTTTATATCACAAGAGTCCATAAACATTAACAACCTAGGGTCAGATAATAAATATTTTAGACTCTAGGATCCATACATTCTCTATTGCAACGACTCAGGATTATTTTCATGACACAAAAAACTAAGGACAATTATATGAACATAAACTATGTAAACAAAAATGACTATGTTCCAATAAAACTTTATTTACAAAAATGGACTGTGAAGATCAGGCAGTGTTTTGTTCTGTTGTCCACAGGGTCACTATAAATCAGAACTGTCTATATGGTACCTACCAACAAATAGAGATCCATTTCAATGCACAGGTTTTGGTTTCCTAACTTTTGGTCTGGTCTGTGTAGGAGTTAAGTCTATGAAAGTCTATGAAAGCTAAAACCCCAAACCAAACACATTGGTGTCCTCAATTTTGATTCCTGGCAACCCTGTGAGACAGAGTGGAATTGCCCTCCCAGTTCTGTTCAGGCTGTGATTCTTTACAGAAGTCATCTTGTGCCGTGGCTTGTGGGTTTAGACCGTTGACCTCTGGGTTAGCGGATTAATACGTTAACCACTGTAACTACTGCAGGTTTGGATTGTGTGGTTTGAATGTGGCTGTGTTCTTCAGAAACCCTCTTCAGATTTGTGGGCTTCCTCAAGCATATTGTGTGCTCTCTGACACCATATCTGTTCGTGGTGTGTACCTTAAAAGTCAGAAACAACCCATATCTGACTCTTCAGAGGGTTTTCAGATATCACAGAAGGAAGGAGATTGCCCATCCTTCTGCGGAGCAGCTGGTGGCCTTGAATTGCGTGCCTTTGGGATTGCAGTACAGCTTCTCGCCAGTAGGCCACAAGAGTTCCATAAGCCATGTTTGTTATTGTTTTACTCGCGTCCCTCTTAAGATAAGCTTTAGTCTAACCTGTGCATAAGCTAAAGACTACCAGCATTCCACATAATATTGTGAGGGCATGATTGCTAATCTTAGGCACTGAAGTGACTACTACAACTTCTGTTTCTTCTGCAGCTTATCCCATGACCATTTCGTAAATAGGCGAGGAGAGGAGGTTCATTGCTGTGTCAACTAGACTCTAAGCTCCCTTAAACTGTGTCTTGAAATTTTAAAATAGTGTAATTTTGATTGCTTAATACTTTGTAATTAGGAATTTAAGCTGCTTCTATGCTTTATGAACTTTTATGATTGCCATTGTTCTTCTTTTACAGTAAACCTATGATGGACTTGCTGATATTCCTCTGTGCAAAATATCACTTAAACCCATCAAGCTACACGATTGATCTTCTGTCAGCAGAAAAGAATCCCATTAAATTTAAGCCAAACACACCAATAGGGATGTTGGAAGTGGAGAAGGTCATTTTAAAGCCAAAAGTTTTGGATAAGAAAAAACCTACACGTATAATACCAGAGGTAAGAATTTCACCTAGTGGAAAAAAAAAAACTGTTGTCCTATTTTTTCCCCCCAGATGCTATAGTGTATTTTCAGAGTCTCTTCTGACATCAATTTTGGTCTTTTTCATTCTCCTGTTTTTGTAACAAATTTTTACTCTCTTGGTGAATGATATCTTTGTCAATTCAGATGAGATAGATCAAGGTTGTACTTTGGTTCTTTTTTTGTTTCCTTTTCTTTTACTGCAGTTTCAACATGCACATGAGTAATGGTCTGTTTCTGGTCTAGTGTTCATTGCCAATCTTTCTTCAGTGATTCTTTCCATAAAGCCGTCAGTCTGATTCCCAGGCAGTCGTTCAGATGAAGTCCATGTGCATAGTTGCCATCTATGGTTCTTTAAAAAGATATTTGCTATGAATAATTAACTGAATGTACAACATTCAGTTATTTGATTATCAGTCTCATTTCTATCCTCAAGTTGACAGTTTTCCAACTACAAATTCTACTTTTTCAACTTTTGCATTCCAGTTACCAATCATTATTAACTTATCTTGACTGAATGTTTGATCAGTTCCAGACTGTAAAGATTTATCCAAAATAATGTGGACGTTATTGAACAATATCATTAATATAACATGCATACAAAAAGGATTGCCAAAGATCATCTCAACACATTGACAGAGAACTATCAGAAATTCAGGCTGGTTTTGGAAGAGGCCATGGCACCAGAGAGATCATTGTAGATGTCAGATGGATCTTGACTGTAAGAATACAGGAAGAGTATATTTGTGTTTTATTGACTATGCAAAAGCATCTGACTGTGTATCACAATAAACTCCATAGCTAACATTGCTAAAAACATTGGAATCCCAGAACACTTAATGATGCTTATGAAATCTATATCTTAGCCAAGAAGCTGCTGTCTGAACAGAACCAAGGAATATTGCATGATTTAAAATCAGGAAACGTGTGCATCCGAGTGGTATTCTTTCTCTATACCTTTTCAGTCTGTTTGCTGAGCCAATCACTAGAGAAGCTGGACTAAAGAGGAATGTGGCATCAGGATTGGAGGAAGACTCATCCGTAGTTTTCAGAATTTTAAATGAAAATATATTTGGTTAATTTATCTATACTTGTAAGCTAACCAGGGTTTTGAGCTGTTTCTTTCAAGTTACTCAAGTTCCTGGCTGACAAAGCAAAACTAAAACAGACTTGAATTTGCAAAATATGGGTACCTGTGTAAGCAGAGAATGGGAAGTTACTGACCAGTGTCAGAAATACAGTCTCCTTTTTAGAAAACAAGGGAAACGTCTGCATTGCAAAGCCACTGAATCTCTTTCCTGCAGCACCCTGTTCAAAATTGGTGGCCAGCTGAATATAGCCGGCTCTATAAAGACCTGTTAATTCATTCTTCCACATCAGGCTTCTGAAGTTTCTAGGACTTTGGGTGGCATTTTTCTCTTCTGGTAAATGTCTCAAGAACTCATATTTTGCAAATCCAGTTTCTCTTTTTTGCTCTTGCTGGCCATGTATAAATGAATTTGAACCCTTGAAATGTTCTGATTATAATTTACTGACTTCTAAAACTTTGATAAATGAGAAAGACTTCAAGCCTTTTGTTCATAGGGTCATTATGAGTTGTATTTGACTCGATGACGGTCAACAACAATATTAAATTTCTAAGCCTGATGATTCTAATATCATCAGATATTCTTTTTATATAAGTTTGCCAAATTACCATAGGTAATAATGTTAGAAAAGTCTTCGGGTTTCAAGAAATACTCCCATTTTAAAACAAAACTAATTTCACAAAATATACAACAATTTGTGTATTAAGTTGATAGTTCATTTACAGACAAATTGAATGCATATATTCTGTTCTTTACACTAAGTTTTTAATGAAAGGGTTATGAGGTTATATTTTTAACCTATATTAATCAATATTTGTCCTCTTTTTTTTTAAGACAACCAAAAAGACATTAGTAAGATAAGCATTTTTTATTCTAAGGATAGAAAAATATTTGTCGACTGTCTTATGTAAATTTGCTAATTTCATAGTAAATATTCTAAGGATTAATAATATAAAAATCGGTAGTCTTATTGTGAAACTTTGTTCGAGGCTACCAGCTGCTGCATGGAAGGAGGATGGGCGATCTCCTCCTGTGTGATTAACTGCCTCTGAAAACCCACTGGAGGGTCAGCTGGGGGTTGGTTTCCTACTAGACAGTACACAGCAACAACAACACATAATCAACACCAATGCTAGAAGCAGTTAAGAAATCAGTAGATGTATAACAGTTGTGAGGGGAAGAATCTGAAGGACCTCTTCAAAGTGCTAAAAAGCAAGGATAGTAGCAGATGAAGGTGCACCTGGTCCAAGCGATAGTATTTTCATTTGCTTAGAATGCATATAAAAGTTAACCAATGAATTAGGAAGACCAAAGAAGAGTCAATGTCTTTGGATTATAGTGCAAGCAAAGAATATTGAGTATATCCAATGAACTGTCAAAAGAACAAACAAATCTGTCCTGTAGGAAGTGCAGTCAGGTGATGTTTAGAGACAAGGATTGTGAGACTTTGTCTCAGGTACTTTGGGCATGTCCTCAGTAAACTATATGCGGGGAAAGGTGAGGTCAGTGAAAGAGGAAGATCTTCAATTTTATAAACTGATACAGTGACTGTAACAGTAGATGGGTGGAGGTCATGAGGATGGTACAGGATAGGACAAAGTTTTGATCTTTTAGAGTTACTATGAGTTGTAGTTGGTTCTGTGGCACCCAACAAACACAGCAATACTTTAGTTTATTATTACTACACACTGCTTATCAAGCTAGATTAAAAAAGGGGCATGGGGCATGGGACATAATTGGTGATATCAGACACATCTTGGCTGAGAACAAACTACAGAAAGCCATTCTTTTGACCATGCAAAGACATTAGACTGTGAATCATAAGAAATTGTGGATAACATTTTGAAGAATGGAAATTCCAGAATCCTTAATTTTGCTCATGCAAAGATTTGTATACACCAACACTCCATCTTTTGAACAGAACAGAGTCTGTGTGTGGCTTAAAATCAGGAAAAATATACAACAAGGTCATTTCTTTTCACTATATTTATTCAATATAAAGAAACAATTCAAGGCGTTTGACTGTACAGAGTCACATGCTGTCAAGACTAGAGGAAGATTTGACAGCCTGTGATTTACAGATAACAGCATTGCTTCCTGTACTGATAGATTTCAGACTACAGTTTTCAGTCTGAATTACATTTTAACATAAAACAAAAATTCTCACAACAATAAGCAACATCATGATAGAGAAAAAAAAAGGGCCAGTCCTTAGAGGAAGGCATCATGTTTAGTAGAGTGTCAGGTAAAAAAAAATGAGGTATTACCATAGTGGCTCAAATAAATAGTGAGTTCAAACCATTCTGAGGATGTCACAGAGCAGACAGTGCTTCATCCTGTTTAAGGATTTGCTGTGGGTCTGAATTGACTAGATCACACCAACAATATAAACCATTGTAAGCTGATTGGTCACCTGGATTTAGTTAACAAGCAGCTGTGGACTGGTAGTCAGTCAGAACCTGGTAGGTGGGACTTTGTATTTAAAAGTTGATTGGGTCCTCTGACTGCTGTTAATTGTTTGGGAATAACATTGTTCTAAGTGGTACAGCACTGGCCTGTCAGTTTTCTGTAGTGAGATAACTTGGGGTTGCGGTTATACTGGATGCTGTGTCACTGAGATGTCAAATGCCATAATGTGGCATTATTCCATTGTGGGCAGGGTTTAGTAGAGCTCCAAGATTAAGACAGGCTTGGAAGCAGGATTGACAACCACTTGTTAAGCAACAGGCCTTTGGAAACTCCATGAACTTAAGAAAAACGAGGATAATTATAGACCAGGGTTCAGATCTTTTGTTCATTGGATTTGTAGGCGTTGTCCTCAACTTGATGACACTTAACAGTAACAGTGAAAACAATTATTCACTACACAGGAGTTATAAATTTAATCTAGATTATTTTATTAAACTATTTCTATAAATTTCTTAAGTGATACTAATTTTTAAAAAGAATGAAATAGGATATTTCTATGTTATACAAAGGTTTCCTTGTATCTTTTATCATTGTTTTTGGAAGTGTTCTAAAATGGCCATTTGTGTCTATAAGTATTTCATGATGTAACCATAGTTTTAATTTGTTTTTATATTTTTCAGAAAACTGTGAGAGTAGTGATCAATTTTAAGAAAACACAGAAGGCAATAGTGAGAGTGAATCCACACACACCACTTCAAGAGCTTGCCCCCATTATATGTGATAAATGTGAGTTTGATCCATTACATACGCTGCTGTTGAAGGACTATCAGTCTCAGGAGGCTCTTGACATGACAAAATCCCTTAATGAGCTGGGCCTAAGAGAATTATATGCCATGGATGTCAGCAGAGGTGTGTAATGCTTTTTATTTTTTTCCTTTTGTGTGTGACTATATATTTTCCATATGAGTATTAAGTTCTTAACTGAGAATTAATGAATCCATATGTGGAGCTAAACACATGTTACTGGGGAGCAGAGAAAACTATATATAAGAAAATTACTCAGTTTAAGTTTATGAAATGGAAATGATTACTTGTTTTTCGTATCTGTCTTCCACACCACATTTTCCTGTCTACCTCTAATTTCTGTGTATGTGCATGTGAAATTTAGTCTGCTTTATGCTGCTTTGAAATTCTGTGTTCTAATTCAGTTTGAATTATTGTAGCTTTAATTAAGCCTTAATTATTGTTGAAGGTTTTTTTTTCAGATTTTTGTTGTTTTGGTTTTGCTTTTTAAGGTCAGCATTAAAAATACGTTGGCTTATACAGTAGATCAGCTTGATTCTCAAAGTGTTCTAACTAGAAGGAGCTTAAAGTTAATCTATGGAAAATATGGAATCAAAATGTATTGACCTTAGAGAATATTGATTTTTTGTGATATCTAATGGAAAAATGCATCTTTTTATTTATTTAACTGAATCATATTTTACTAGGAAAAATGAAAGTTTAGTTTTTGAGCTAATTACTGAAATGAGCTCTTTCTAAGGACATCAAACTTAAGATGACTGTGTGACTTATGTAACATAAAAGACTGTTTTTCAGTTCAGTGATGTTTTATAGTGACAAACATCATTGTTACAGTCATTTTACCCTTTTTTACCCCGTCCTTCTGTAGACACTTCTGTTACTGCCTTCAATAAATCGTCTTTACAAGGTAAGACACATGAGTCAGTAACAACAAATTGGGACATGAAATCTTTAATAGTATTGAGTAAATTGAAAATTTCTAATTTTATAGTATTACTAACAAGCATATTTTATGAAAGATTTTAATTTAGAAAAAATCTTTAGTTTCATTTCCTAAAAAAATAATGTATAAAGCACCCTGAATTTTTGATGCTAATGACAATAACTGCATTTCAATAATTACATAAAATGACATCATTCTAAGAATATGAGAAAGTACAAAAGAGTAATTTTGCTGATCTCTTAATTAGGTATAAATTATAATTTAGTAATACTTTAGCAGAACCTCATTATTTCCATTAAATAATTATGCATAGAATTATAGTATATTCATCATTAAATGCTTACATTCATTAAATTATGAATAGTTTATGTTTACATGGAGAACTTACATCAACAGATTTTAAAGTGTAACATGGGATTAATACAATATATAAAAATTTACATGAAATTTTTAAATTGAAATTCAGCAAACATTTAGTAGTGGTTACCTTTGCACATAGGACAATTGGCAATTTTCTATTCCTACTCTTTTTTATATTACAGAATTTTATGGAGTACTTTTGTAAGTGGAAAAAATTTTTATTAAAGTTTTAATAATAATAATAATAATAAATTCTGGATGACTTTCCCATTAAAGAAGGATAGGTTTTGGTAATTGATTACTACAATAATTACCACTCTACTAAAAAGAGCTTAAACTGTGCACATTATGTGTTATTGGAATTTTCTATATTACTTCCAAGTGTCCCAAAGTACCCTGTGCTTCTCAATTCTAAGAATTATGTACATAAAGCTAATCATGATTATTTATGATTGGTAGCTATCATGAAAACTAGTTTAAATTCATTAAAGGCAACAAAAATGCTTTCTATCAAAAGGGGCGTGTCAGTTAGGAATCACAGTAGTCATTTTAATCCTTGATTACATCAGCTGTCAAGCTAAGTTAGCAAAATTGGACAAATAGTGTTATCTTACTTCCTTGTTATTGTAAGAAATTATCTCTGTGGTTCTTTCAAGCACTGACATTCTGTTATCAAACGTTTCTTTTTGCTCCTGATTTTGCCTCTCTAAAATATGTAATCCTAAACAAATCTTAAGGGAACTCTGGTGGCCTAGTGGCAAGAAGCAGTGCTGCAATTCCAAAGGCACTTTTTTTGAAGCCACCAGCTGATCTAAAAGGAGAAAGATGGGCAACCTCCCCCATGTGATTTACTGTCCCTGAAAACTCACCAGAAGGTCATCTATGGGGGGATTCCAACTCTAACATACAAAACAACAAACAAATCTTGTGATCTCTTTGGTGTCCTTTGAAGATGTTTGAATGCATCGGTCTCGAAGTCACTTCCAGCCACATATGGTTTATTCAGAGCATTGAACATTGTAAACATCATTTTGAAATTTCACTTAGAATAATGAAAATTTTTAGATCTCTCTTTCGTAGGATTAGAATCTACAAAGTGAGTCCTTATGCTATAAATGCCCCACCCCCTTATTTTGTGTGATACTATCAGAGCTTGCATAATACCTGGAGCTTTGCATGGGATTGTTTATAGCCTAACTTCTGGAAATGGGGGATTACTGTTTGTAGTTACTTTTCTAAGGAAGCTGAAGCCCCCTGTTTTCTTACTGTGACTTGTTTTGGTCCCTAAGCATTAAGTGAAAACGTAGAGGTTAACTAATGCAGAGGATGGCAGTGAGCCTGGAAAGTGCTACACCTAAAAGTCATAAGAACTCTGGTTTTGTTTATTGCATTGTGCCATCATGGGAATTTTCTATCTACTATAAAACTCATAAAGTGCTATTCATATGTGTAATCATTGCTAGTTTTATCAGTAACTTTGGTTTGAGAATATTTTTTAAATTTTTCAAAGTACCATGTAAAGCATTTAAATTTTTGAAATGTAGTTGTTATTGAGGCATGTTGTATTAAATATTATTGGTGGTAACTATTTTTGCATAATACCTGGAGCTTTGCATGGGATTGTTTATAGCCTAATGTTTTTAAATGTGATTAAGTAACACACTACACATGAGTTAAGCCAGCAGAGTTCCCTGGTTCACAGTAAATGAAAAATAATGGTTTTCATCTTGAGTTTTTTTTTCCAAAGGGAAGATCACAGAGAATGTGAAACCTCATGTTAAAAGTAAGATGTTTTTCTTCTGTTTTAGAATCCTGTCAGATATCCCCAAACCTAGACATGATGAAGGAAAGAGAAAATAAAGGATTTTTCAGTTTTTTTCAACGCAGTAAGAAAAAGCGAGAGCAAGTGAGTCTTTCGTTTTCTTCTGTATCATTTCATAAGATTTACAAATCTCTCTTGGCTTTTTAAAAATTGCTTGTTCTTTTCTTCTGGAAAATAGAAATCTATTTTGTTTTTACATTTCTCAGACAGCGAGCGCCCCTGCCACTCCTCTGATAAGTAAGCCTCGCCCAACACTTACGAGGTCCAATACCATTTCCAAACAATATGTTTCAAACACCCTGCCATCAAATGCACCCAAGAAGAGGCGTGCTCCATTGCCTCCAATGTCAGCATCTCAGAGTGCCTCACAGGACCTTGCCCAAACCTCCATGAGGCCAGCTTCTTGTATAGTGAAATCCATGAGTGTGGATGAAACTAATAAGGTAAGTGATGTTTTGTTTTATTCGGGTTAGGCAGGTGGTCATCTGTTATAACTCTTCCTTAATAGGCCTTTTCTCACATAGTTATTAATAAAGTCAGTAACTAGTTACTGACAAGGAATATGATTTACAAGTGGTTATTATAAGACTAGTACTGGGTAAAGGTGCACAGTACAAATATGCCAAGTGTAAGTGGTTTTTGCATTCAAGCAAATCAATGAGCCCCAAACCTTGGAGTCTTGGTTTACTGAAGCCTTTGGTACATGTTTAATGCACGTGTGCTCTGACAAACATAAATACCAATTTTGGAAAGCCTTTGAGAGAGTGTGTGTATGTGTGTGTCAGTGTCAGACATAGCGTGTTCTTTTTGCTACACTCATGAGCTCCTAAACTAAATACATTTTCTTGATCTGACTTTAAGAATCTTAGGGTTATTCTTGGTGTCTGCCTGATAGATAGGTACTCTGACTGCTAAGCATAAGGTCAGCATTTGAACCAACAGCTATGATGGAGAAAGATGGGAAGTGACAGCTTCCATAAAGATTAAAGCTTTGGAAATGCAATGAGAAGGTCTCCTTTGTCCTATATGGTCACTAAAAGTACAAATTGACTTAGTGGCTGTGGATAAGACGTGTGGTACATGGTTGGATGCTGAATTATAAACGGTATGAGTTTATTTATATGGAGTCTGCATATTTATGCCTTTTTTAGGCAGTCTGGTTTCCAAAATACTGCTTTGTTTGTATTTTTGCTCAAAGGTTGCTACTGCTCCTCTTAAGTCTAAAATTTTCTTTAAGAATCATCTTTGTGGGGATCTGTGTGTCCTCATTTTCTCATGTGGAATATATGTATTTAAATAAGTGATATAATATGGTGCCTTATACTTTGATGTTTGTATTAAGGTAACATACACTTTAAATAGCTTTTTTGAACAAGTTTTATTTTGACATATTTAGGATACTGAGAATTTCTCCTGATTTCTTATTTAAAGCTTTTATTTCCTACATGAATGTGTAGAAAACTCAATGCGGCTTCTGGTCTCGGTTGTTATGGCTTCAGGGTTACTTCGTGGAGCTGAAGCATTGGTCACTCAGCCCTTAAAGGCCCGCAGTCCCAATAGGGTCACTGCCGTGTGCTTGATGGCATTTGGAGGTGGTGCACCCACCGATGAGGATCAGGTGACAGGGTTGGAGCGGGAGGTCATGATGGTTGCTCAGAAAGACCAGGATCCACACAATATGCTTGCTCCAAAGGCAACTGCAGGCACTAAGGAAGATCCTAATTTAGTTCCCTTCTTTACCAATAAGTGAATAGTAGGCTGCATCTGTGAAGAAGACAACAATGCTGTGATCTGGTTTTGGCTACATAAAGGTGATATGCAGTGATGCTCTACAATGTAATGTACCCATGACAAGCTGGTACCCCACCAGTTAACTCACTGAGTGAGCCCCTGAATGTGCTCATGCTCCCACTGATGTGGTCTAAATGTGCTGGAATGTTTCCTTCTTTCCAGTAAAGACTAGCCACTCACTGCTTTGGCTCCTTCTGCCATAAAAACAAAACAAAACCAAAAAACTCAATGCACAGGTAAATGAACTCATCCCAACTATTGTTTCCCTGCATCTTTAACTTATTTTTAGAAAAATTGGAATGGTCATTTTTAACTGAGAGTTTATAGACATAGTAACAATATAAACCATCATGTGTCTTTGGAAAATAAATAGGAACCTTAACATAAATGAGAAATAAGCTGTTACTGTTGTTACGTGTATCAAGACAATGATTCATAGGACCCTCTGAACTACAGATCTGAGCCTAGCCCTATCCTGCTCCATCCTGACCATCTTTGATACACTTAAGCCCATCCTTAGAGTCTTGGTGACAAACCATCTTCTTGAGTCTTCCTCTCTTTTGATGTCCCTCCCGCCACCTTTCCCAATATGCTTTTTTCCAAGAACCTGGTCCCTTGTGACTTGAAAAGTTGTCTCTTGAGGCTGTCTTCTTAGTCCTTGTAAGAATTTTTTTGCCCACTTTTGTAAATGTAAAGTATAAAATTGCATCTTATAAATTAGAAGGAGAGTTACTTTTTCAAATATTAAATTATTTACTGATTACCTCCCCTACCCCAAAGTAACAGCTTTGGATCTGGTGAAGCTTTGCAGAAGAGATGATTCTTGGCTTCAATGTTATAATGTGTGTGAGAGTCAGACAAGAGAGATCCTGCTCAGAGACTTAGATATGAAGACTGTGGCTGGCCCAAGCATGAGTATGAACATAATTAAAACTGAATGAAGTAAGCAGGGGCCAACTCCATGCCCCTAAAGGCTTCATTTTGGAGATTAACCCTTTAAATTTCTCAATAGTAAATAATTTAAAACTTGGCTTTTGGATTGTTTTTAAAATTTCCACCAAGATATTATTATACTCCTAACTAGTAACCAAAGTCCACTTTTTTTTTGTATAGACATAAATCTTTGTCTCAGTTCTCAAAATCCTCCTTCCAGTGATGATCTTCTAATCTATTCCCAGGAAACTACTTTTGTGCTTGGATCTCTAAGAGGTCTGTCTTGTCTTTCTAATAGTCTGCTTTTTGAAATTTTAAGCTGCACCACAAGTGACCTCACAAAGCTATTTCTTTGTTTTTCACCCTTTGCTTTTTGACTAGTTGGTGCTCTCATATTAAGTAATCTTTTTTTAATGTGTTGCCTTTGGCAAATTACACATCTTTATACAATTTTTAATTCTTTTTCCTTTTGATCTGGACATCTGGATAATTCTTTGATGTATTGTTCAATAGGACCCAGAAATATTTGTTTTTCCCTAGAGAAACTAGAGTCATTTTTAAAAAGTTATTCATTAGAGAAATTCTGAATGGTTAAGTTATGGTCTTTATGAATGTGTGAGTGTGCGTGCATATATCTGAGTGTGGGCACACGGTTGAATATGTGATCTCGTACCTTAAAATTAACTTGAACCTTTATCTTCCTAACCATCATGGCAATAATTGTGATTGAGTACCCTTTGGTCTTTATAGTTTTTGTTTCTGTTCCTTGGTCCTGAGTCTGTTCTTACATCTTAGCTCTCTTTCTGATTTTTCTGCCTCCACTTCTGGGTACCAAGGTTTCCAATCAGGTGGGGAAGTGGTCTAGAGCAGCCTCTTTCTACAGAGGTTTGATCTGTTTCAAGTGAGACTTAAGGTGCAGTGTTTATTAGCCATTGGGAGTGAATTGATTGTATTTGCCCTCCTATTTAAAAAGGCATTTGGGCCACTGGGCCTGCAGCCCTCAAGCCTGGTTTTAATTGTTTTGGGTCAAACATTCTTCTAAGTGGTATATAGCACTGGTCTGTCCATTTGCTGTACAGAGTTAACTCATGGTTGCTGTGATGCTAAACACAGTGACACTGATGTGTCAAATGTGTTAATGATTACCCATGGTGGACAGTATTTGGTGGAGCTCCCTGATTAAAGCAAGCTTGGAAGCAGGGGTGGCATCCACTTCCAAAATGGCTTGCCTCTGGAAACCCTATGGTTTGGAGAAACGATGAAAGTTACACGTGTTCAGGTCTTTCCTCGAGTTGCTATGAGTTGTCTACGACTCAGATGACACTTAACAACATCATAGTGTGTCAGAGAGGATTAGGTTGGCACAGGATAGAACAGGGTTCAGAGCTGTTGTTCATAAGGTTGCTCTAAGTCGTATTCTGTTTGATGGCACCTAAAAACAAAAACCACCACCACAACATAGGTAGTGTATTCATAGGACATAGTATTCTAGAAATTAAAAGAATACAGCGAAAAATCTCTGCCCTGCTCATATCGGTAACTTCAGGCTATCCTTCCAGCGATAATGCATCGCTATTTAAGCAAATACTTGTGCTCTGCCTTATTTTCTTTAGATAACTCTCTCACCTTTTGATACTGAATTATGTTCTTTTTAAGATTATTACCAGTATATTAGGTAATTCTTTCTAAAAGTTAAGCAGTAATACATTGGTGGATATAGCATGATTAACATTCTATTTTCTAAACATGTATATTACTGTTTTGTTAAATTTTAACAAAAAAATAGAATTGTGTCCTAACAAGGTTCTGTAATATATAAAAGGTTGTTGGCGTGTATTACTGAGTCAGAACTGACTCACGCCTGACCCTGCAGCAAATTCTCAGAAGCAATAAACCACACGAGATTTCCCACCTTTCTCTCACAGAGCAGCTGGGGGTTCTGACTGCGTGCCTTCTAGCTGGCAGGGCAGCTCCTTTACACTGGGGTGCCAGGTCTCCCTATGTAAAGAGAGATTTGGTAAAGTATAATGAGCCAAGGTGACTTGTTAGGTGCCACAGCGTCAGTTCCAGCTCCTAGAGATCCTGTGTACAAAATGAAGCTCTCCCATGCCAGCACCGTCCTCAGAATCGTTGTTATGTGTAGTAGACGCATTGCTGCAGCTACTCAGGGGTTCCGTTTCACCGAGGGTCACATGACTAGGCACAGTCCCATCAAGAGAAGACTATCACACTTGAAAGTCTAACAAAATGTGACTATTTCATTTGTTTGTCTGGGACATTTTCATAAGTACTCAGTAACTTAAAAATGGGTACATTCACTTTATAGGAATTGGCCTATTTCTTAGCGACATTTTATGGTAAATAAATGTTTTCAGAGATGTCAAAATTTTTGCAGGGTTCTATTGAAAGGATTTTCATGACAAACAAAATCTACATTGTACAAAGCATAGAAATAAGATTGACTCTTGAATTTAAGTTGTTTGCATATAACCAGATACAGCTATCACAGACATTCAACAAGTATATATATTCAGGTGTAAATTTTATTACTTGTGTACTTCTTATTGTTGTGAACCAACCCTTAGCTGACTCTCTTTCAGAGGCAGTTAACTGCACAGGAGGAGACTGCCCATCTTTGTCCTGCAGAGCAGTTGCTGGCCTCAAACCACTTTTTCTGGATTGCAGCACTGCTTCTTGTCACTAGGTCACTATGAGTCTC